AGCACACCATCTCAGCTTCTGCCCACCTGTTTAGTCATACAACCAGCCCGTGACCCATTTGATTGCATGGCCTCATCTCCATTTTTGGTCAGGCTTAATGCTCCTGCATGTAGGAAGATCAGTCGTTTTTCGATGAATCACTTCCATAAAAATGCTGTGCAGGCTTTTATTTAGTAGGAAAACGCACGGCGAAGAGATTCGTGGGTCAATATCACCAGAAGACGACGGCTGATTCAGGTTGGCGTGATCCACAGGCTGCGCTTCTATCTGTCATTTCAACGGATGTTTATCGTCAGGGATGCAACTCATTCATGCAACAGCCTCAGGTTTGCATTACCTCATGAAGATTATTCGACTCTATCCTACTTGCTTTAAATACTCAATATATTAAATCATGTGAGTAGATTACTTTCATTTTACTAGGGGTATTATACTTGTGTGTATGTGTTTACGTCTGTACGCGCTCGTCCAGCGAAACTGGCAATAACATCAAACACGCATTTCTCGCTACTTAAATACTACTTACTTGGTTCAGTCCAGAGTATGGTCTAAGTGAGGATGCAGGATTGAATGAAATCGCTCCGTCTCGGCGTTGGTAGCCTTCTGTGCTTAGGCTGGGGCGCCTGAAAAAGTGGCCGCCTGTCGACTTGACCTTCACGGTCCAGACCCCGGGAGCCAAGGAACTTGTCACGGCAGCGGCCTGACCCAGGGGGTTGCTACGCCAGGCTTAAGGCTGCCGAGCGATTGGGATAAATGGCCGAGACTGCGTGAGCAGACAGGGATATGGCAGACCGGGCTGTGGGAAGACTCATCTGCCGCATTTGTGCGTGCACAGGCCGGTTGCCTGAGGTTGGCACGTCATCTAGTCGTGTCGAGAGACAGTCGCGTTGACAATGTATGTACCAAATCGAAGCGATATAATCTTATTAAGTAGGCTGACTGTCTGAAGAAAAACAATTTACACATTATTAGGGCTATTTAGCAGGGAGTACGTACGTATAGACGGAAATGATTGAGCGTTTATCTCGGTTGGACGCTGAATGTGTGTATGCGGTTTAATCAGCGTGGGCTTGCCTGTGAATGTGAACTGTATGTGAACTGTGTGCCTGTCGGTTTTGGCATCAAAGTGGGCAGAATATCTGGCAAAACCCCTTTGCGTTATTGCATTCTAGCCTCGATGTCACAGCCTTCACGAGAGCCCCAAATCACAAAAGGGAATCAAGAATTTGAAGGCCCAGAAGACGGGCCACAGATTTATGCGTTCTTGGTGGGAATAGAAAAGATGATACTGCCAATTGAGAACAGCCAGCTATTCCTTGCATACCCTTGCCCCACCAAAGCCTACCTTATGTCGGAAAGCCAGAAACCTCAGGAATCGGTGGCCCCCTTGGGTCTGCAGGCGGATGGATGCAAGAGATCGGTCTGATATGGAGAATTCACTTTTTTCGTTTTCCCATCTCTTTGAGAACAGAGACGACATTTAATGAACATGCTACCTGGTCATTGGTCCCCTAACGAGGTAGCTAGACTCTCCTGGAGCGTACTTCCGGAAGGATGTCTTCTCAGCATCTTTAGGGAGATTCGCTCTTGACGCTTTGCTCACTGTCTACGATTTGCCCCAAGACGTGTGAAAAGTCTATATGACAGCATGCAAGACG